TTCTTCTGAAATCCATCTTAACCTGTTACAAAGCCATCCAAACACATAAAATTCATCTCATTAGTAATATGGAGAAGAGAAATAAACACAGAAAAGAAAAAAGATTCAATGAAACAAAAAACCATCCCTGAATCACAGAACAAGAAGTGAAACAGCAGAGACCAAGATACAAAAACTAGACTAATCCTAAACATATGCATGAAATTTTGGATTGCATGGTGCGGTGCACGGGTGACGTGGTACTCAATAATTTCTCAACAAATTCTCGATCGATGTAGACTGTAGCCCTAAGCTGAAAATTGCTTTTGCGTGGACAACATAGGAGCTTGAATCTATCAAAAGTGAAATATTCCCTTAGAGTTTTTGTTTTTACCCTTAAGATGATCCAAGCCACAATGGCGTCCAGTTTCAGATACCAACATCGTCCCTCCAAGTGTGAGGTTGCAGTATAAATTGAGAAAGGCTCATCAGCCATGATTTGTATGTACTCAAAATTTAAGGCAGGGAAAGATAGAAAGAAGAGGGAAGCAAGGAGTGAATCCATCAAATCCAGGTGTCCCCTAGAGTTCCTCCGGATACTTCATTGATCAGACTGAGAGACCACCAAAGCTCTTCCTCTTCACTGAAGTGTTTGGGGGAACTCCTGGTGTCGCTTGGTACTTTTATATATTCTACTCAATGCTTATGAATTCCCTTGCTTGGGCTACCCATCTTTCTGCAACTTTTCATGACTACATAGACAAATAACTGAGATTAGGAGAGAACAAATAACCGATTGACATGTTTCAAGTCATATACTAATTTATAGGGCTAATCCCACTAAACATGCCACTTCTGTCGATATTATTATTTGTATTATGTAACTTCAAGAATTACAGTGATACTCCAAGCTATTGGAGGTAAGCGTCATTTTTGTTACAACCATAGGTTTTGTCCCTTTGGTTTCGGTTTGGAGGTGTTGTTCGGAACACTTTACTTTGATGATGTTGTTCGGAACATTTCTGTTTGATAAATGCTGTGCAAAACATTTCTGTTTGTTTTCCATTTCGATGATGTTATTCAAAGCATCCTTATCGCCATGCTGCTATTCAGAGCACATGGTTTTGTTCCTGTTTCGTTGATGCTATTCAGAGTATACTGATCGCCATGTTACTGTTCAGTACATGTGGTTCTGTTTCTGTTTTGATAATAGTGTTCGGAGCTTCTTGATTGCAATGTTGCTGTTCGGAGCACGTGGTTATGTTTTCGTGTCCTGGCCACCTCTCTTTCGTTCTTCTGGAGTATCTTTCTTCTTAATCGTCGCTTGATTTTGCCGCTTCCTTCTGTGCCGATTTGTGGCGAGTGATCCGTTATTTTATTGGCACTTGGTTCGACGAACTAGAGGACTTTTGCAAGACTTTCGTTATCTCCAGATTATCACCATCGAGGTTTCATGAGGCATGGAACATGGTCTTCATGACATTGACATATTTGGCGGAGCCGTTATGTTTTTTTTACGGTGCTAGTATACATGGCACTGTATTTGTTCGACGATGTTGTTCGATCGAGCATCTTTGGTTTGTTTTCATGATAGAGCATCTTTGGAGGACAAGTATGACAAGGCAGTTAAGGCAAGATATCTCGTTACATCCAGTTCACCACCATCAACGTCTTTGTGGAGCGTGGTTTTCTACGACATCGGTGTGAGGTTTGGGATTAGTAGTAATTATCGCTGTCTCAGTCATAGATTTTTTTTTCTTTTGTGTTAGTTTTCGGTTTGTTTTCCAAATTGTTGTTAAGTAATTACCATCAATTTGGGGAGGGTATTAGAGTATGGGTAGTATGAGTAGTATTACGTTATACTACGAGTACTATTATGTAATTGGTCAGAGTTATATTCCTTACTAGAGTTGTAGAAGTTAGGTAATTTCTGTATACTCTATATAAAAATATAAATTCCCTATGTGGTTTTAGTAAAAAGACACAACAATTTCCACTGTATTTAGATTTCCCAACATTCGCTAGGGAGGCCGACGTTCTTAGTGTCGAAGAACTCGATGGAAATACATCTGTCAAGGTCGCGCAACCTATCTTCGACCCCAATTTCATCGACCTCGATGAAACTAATGTTTCCATAACGTTTTACACTGCATTTACCACCAGGTTGTCGAAGATATATAGGAAGCCCCGAGGTATATGAATCGGTCCCTTCCATTATCATTGGTAACAGAAAGTTTGAATATAATTTCTTTCTGAGGAATTTTATAATGCTATATAGCATTGATACTATAGGCTTTTATCTTTATGGTACAACTTGAAATTGTACCTTTAATGTTATGGTACAACTTCAGATTGTACCTATACTTTTTGCACAAATTCTTTGATGGTACAACTTAAACTTGTACCTTATGTGATGGTACAACCATAACATAATGATACAAATTCCTTTATGGTACAACCTAAACTTATACATTTAATGTTATGGTACAACTTCAAATTGTACATTAAAATACAAATATTATATAGCATAGTAGAAGTGCTCTTTCTTTCCTGGTCGCGAACTCTTCCACTACCACGAGCTTCTGCCTATCCGAAGCGTTCCTTCCAGTCAACTGTAAACCTCACCGGAACTCTCTCTCCCTCTCTCCTCTCACTCTCTATCTCTTTCTGCTCTGTAGTTGCTCGATGCTGATGGTGTGTAGCTGGTTGGTTAGGTCTAATTTTAGGCATGCAATAGATTGTTCTGATGGTTTTGTGAAGTTAGATCGTTGATTGTGAGACGTAATTACAAAAACCTGATTGGATGTGGATTGTTAGAACAGTAAAATAACTAATTATTTTGATTCATCCAAACAAGGTAATTTAGTTGAAAACTTGAAATTTTCTTAAGTGATACATAAATACCGCATGTAAAAAATGAGTTACTTAATTCTATACACACCACATTCTCAATTGACTCATTCAAACGCGAACCCCTTATGTTATGATAGAACCTAAAGTATGTGAAGACCTTTGGTAGGTACATATGTGTAAGTAATCTAAAAATTTGTGCAATCTAATTCTATTTACCCTGAAAATTAACTTTGTACAACATAGATTAATTATTAAATATTCTATGGATTTATTAGGCCTGTTAACATTGATCATTTAATATGTTAGTTGGGCCTTGTTGGGTTAGGTTTTTGGACCTAAGTGGCCGAACTCCCTCTCCCGTACACAAGTAATCGACCATTCTCCCTGACTTCCATGGTCAGCAGGCTCCTCCCCTTTATATGAAATATGGCTCTACAAGAGGGTACCAACCCGGCAAGTCAGGTTTGGTACCAATACATGAAATTTGGCTAAGTACGGAGCTAAAGGGGTATCCAGCCCACAAGGCAGCCGGGCAAGACACGCTTGGTACGAAGACATGAATATGGCTAAATATGGAGCCAGGGGGGGTACCAAGTCGGCTAGGTAAGTTTGTTACCAAGATATGAAATTTGGATAAATATAAAGATCAAACGGGGTACGGTGCCAACTGCCAACCGGATGAGGAGGGGACAAGGTGGCTAGTGTAGGTGGCCACCATACTGGATACCAATCCATCATGGACAATCCCTAGATTCCCAAGACTAAGTATATAAAATCTGGGGGCTCGCCAGCCAAGATATCGATCTGATAAGGTGTCAATTTGATGAGGACTTTGCGTAGAGGCTCTTAGGTGGCCACATAGCAGTCAAAATCGATATTTTAGGTAAAATTGAAATGGGGATAACATCGAAATCGCAAATCATATGACTTTAAGGTCCATATTAAAAGAAGACATACTAATGTCAATAAGGAAAATTAGAAACAACACAAAAACACATAACACTTACAATGATAATATCTCAATGTTAATGTTTCAATTTATCAAAGGTAATATTGGGAAGTGGTGAATCGATGATGATTAATATATTGATATCAATTTATGATTGTCAATGGTGGTTAGTGCAAGAGAACTCGATGATGTTGGTTTAGGAGAAGGAAAAGATGCGTTGTTTTGAAAATTCTGGGGAAAATAAGTAAAATTGATCGAAAGTTTTGAACCGTAAAAATATAAGATTTTATTGATGTATATCGTGGATAGTGTAGGAATTTAAGGTCTATAGATTTTGTAGTTAAATCATGATAGGAATTATGTAATAAAATTGTAAACCGTAGGATTTTAGGATTTAAATCGAGAATTTGACTGCTTTGGGTGGTCATATATATGGAGACTAAGTTCCAAGACGGGATTATTAGCCCCCTAAGTAGGTACCAAACCGGCAAAGCTGGTTTGGTAGCAGGGCTCGATGTTGCTTGGTAGCAGGGGTATCAAGCCGGAATGACAATCGGAGAGACAACAAAGTATCAAGCTAGCAATACGGGTTTGACACCAACATGACAAGTTGGTGTCATGACAAACTTACTAACACTACATGTGGGGACTTGGTGGGGAAAGAGATAATGGTACTAGATCGGCATGGAGAGGGCCGGCTCTCTCTCATATAATCAAGGTGGTAGCAGTCTCAAGATTACAATTCCAAGAGCAAGACGATAGCAAGAATTTAAACCAAGTGTGAAGACTTAATTAGGGGTTGTCAAGGGTGTGATTGAGACTTCGTCACAGAGGCTAAGATAAAGAGCCTCAACCACATCAGCCAGGACAATGCGACAGGACTTGAGTGTGGGTTACTAGAAGGGTTGATGGGACAGGTTACTCGAATCGAATGGGGTTATATTTTGACAACTCTAATTATATCCCTTTTCTTTCATTAATTGGTGGCTTATTTCATCACACAATTCCAATTACATACAAGCACGTATATATACCACTGATCAACGCCATCGTAGAAGAACCTAGAGAGGTTAATTCATTATGTTAGTTGACTTAACAATTTGTGGACTGCATTATTAAGGATGTAATTGGCGGATGAGCAGATATTTTGCTCTGGGAGCGGTTAGCACCTTTATAAGTGGTTTGATTTTTGACACCCCCACTTTTATTAGTGTTAAACGAATGGTTAGGATAAAACATCTATTTATTGAGCAGTAATCACGTAATTATTGTTCTATAACATACATTGAAAAGGAAAGAAATCAGGTATCGAGGAAAAATGGTTCCCAAGGTAATACAAATTTAATTAACCCTCACCCTTTTATCACTCCCAAGGATCTTTCAATAACCCATCTATGAAAACCCTCCCCCGACGTAACCCCTCCCCACGACGGAATCATCACCCTTCCGGCCTCCGTTACGATTCCTCAACGACCATCGGCGGCCCATCCCATCCGTCGGCCATCCTCCGGCTTCACGCCATAGTCTATGTTTTCGATCATCGACGCGAAGGGATCGAAAGGGAAGACGACGACCCTCCTCACTTTCCAGGCGAAGATGACGACCCTCCTACCTTTCCTGCGTTGGCCCTCCTCCCCTTTCAGGCGAAGACGGAGAAAAAGAATCTGAGGTAGCACTCTCTCCCAAACTCATATATATGGATTTTACGTGTGGTATTAGTACCAGTGCAATGGTCTTTTCATCACCCAAATATGTGTTTTTGAGTTTCGAGAACTGGATTTTTTCTTGTGGTATCAGTACCTGTGTACTGGTATGTCTATCACTAGAGTGGTATAAATTGGTTATTTTGGTACGGAAGTATACCACTCCAGTGATAGTTGATTCTTGGATAATTTAGTATTATTTATTTGACTGCAGTCTATCACCACATTGATAGTTAACCATGTGAATACTTTTGTGGCATGCTATGTCTATCACTTTAGTGGTAGATCTATCACTGCAGTTGTAGATCTATCGCTACAGTGACATAGTGTGTCTATCAATGCAGTTGTGGATTTGTCGCTGAAGTGGTAGATCTATCTTTGTAGTGGTAGTTCGTTGTGATGTTTTTGTGGGTAGTGCTATCACTGTGGTGGTACAAACAAAATCATTATGGTTGTTTAAAGTACAACTACAGTGGTAGTTATGTTTAGAATGACTTTCTAGGATAGAGCTATCAATGGATTGATATATCTGCAGTGAAAGGCTTATTGGTGATCTCATCTATCAGTAGTTATATTTATTGGTTTGACTTTTGATTTGACCTTCTTCGATTTCAGTCAGAGCAGTGAGTTCCTCGAGAAGTTGTGGAGGTGATCTCATCTATCAGTAGTTATATTTATTGGTTTGACTTTTGATTTGACCTTCTTCGATTTCAGTCAGAGCAGTGAGTTCCTCGAGAAGTTGTGGAGCGGAGTCGGATGCACGCTAAGAAAGACAAATCGCACGGAGCAGGGAGTAGAGCACGTTCCGGACTACAAGCGAGAGCAATTAGGGAGCTTGCAAAATGGAGCAATGACAATGAAGATATTTATGGTCTAGCAACTCTTAATGTCGAGTTTCAATGAAAGCTGAAGAGGCTTTAGGTGGAAAAAATATATTGTATTCATTTGGTTAATCAAATTGATGAAGAATTTAATGGATGCATATTTTGGGAACTTTAATGGTATTTGGTGCTCTATTTTCACTTTAGTAGTATCCTTCCCCAAATTCTTATAGTTTAGTGGCGTGTAGTGTATTTCTCCCATACAAAATACAAGTGAAATGGTACATTTGAAGTGGAAAATACGAGTTGGAGTGATAATAATACTAGTGCAATGATATTTTTCATAACAATGATAAACAATAACGGAGCAACAATGAAGTACCACTTCAATGATACAAATACCAGTAAATTCTCTCCTGCCATACTCTCTATGGTACATGTATCAGTTTAGTGATACATGTATATGTTCAGTGGTATATGTACTATTTTAGTGGTACAAGTACATTATATCTAACGCTGCAATGGTAACGTTTAGTACTCGCGAACATCGATATTATTTTCATCTAGAAATTTGTTCCTCAAAAATTTAAAACAAGTTTACAAACTTCATTATTCGTCTCTGAACAATGTATCACTAGACTGGTACATAAAACCACAACATTAAGGGTAAGCACTGTTACTCTTGTCATGTCATTGATACATATTCATTCATATAAATATACTAGTGTACGACCGTATTGACAACACCTAATGCAAATTGCAAAGCAACTAGGTTGTTTACCCAGCTTCAACAACCAGTGGTGTCCGTCTGGACCTTTTCCGGGGAAAAATACCATTGTAGTGGCATTGTATCACTTCAATGATACAAAATACCAGTGCACTGGTATATTGTCGAGCGGGAGAAGTCGTCGAGAATGAATACAAATCCTTACTGAGATTGTTTTGGTGTTCCTCGGCGTCTTCAATTTCCTTCACGTTCACTGGCAGCGCCGCCATCTTCCATCTGATCGTCGTTGATGATTTCGGGCCGCGTGAAGTGATGAAGTCGATGTCACAAGGGAGGAGAGTTGAGGAGAACGGAGGGATGGGAAAGGGTCGCCGCCGGCAACTGGAGATAGGAGGATGGTGGTGGTGGAAGGCGCTGGAGGAGAACGACGACATGAGGGATGGTGGCGGCACAGGTGGAAGGTGTGGAGGAAGAGGGCGGCAGAGAGGTGATGGCGGCGGCGGCGGCGGCGGGAGGAAGGCCAGAAGGATGGCGGTGATGGCCGATTGTTTTCGGTCGCCGTTTTTTTCTGCAGAGGAGAGGGCCGCTGTCAAGTTCTGCAGAGGAGATGGAAGGTTGGATTGCTATTTTTTCGAAAGGAAATATGAGAATATGGAAGTTGAAACGGTGCTTTTCCCTTCCATCTACATTGGTCTTTCCCAATTAATTTATAATTATTACTGCAAACTTTCCCAAATTACAAGATTAAAACAAAAAACAAAAAAAGCTTTAATTAATACTTGCCATTGATTGAAAATAAATTGACCAATCACAAAGGGGTGTCAAAAATCCAACCCTTTTAATGGTAAGCATAGTATCTGACCCCTTTTGCTTCTGCATGCAATTCCTTCATTGATGATGAAACATCTGGAGTTAAGTGAAGAATTTACATATATAAAAGGCAGGTTACACTTTTCCAGATTCTGATCATACAGCACTACTGTTTATCCAGGATTTCCGACGTGAAAATTTGGCTAAAAAAAACCTTTTTGTTTTTATAATAGTTAAATATCATTACCAAAGAAAATACACCATTTCCAAAAAAAAAAAAAAAAATACTCCGGGGTTGTGTGAAATAGGAAGAAAGATTTTACAGCATTGGTCCCTCAGTTTTCTCGTCCCCCAAGCCATTTGTCAGCAGAAAAGTTCTTTTTCCAGCCCTGGTCCGGAGGAAGCTTTTGCTGCAATCTTATGTTGAATGTGAGTATATTAAAAGCAATAGAAACAAATTAATTAACCAAATCCACCAGTGTGATGTCAACAAGTACAAATAAGCAAAATCTAAGGCAGAATATATCTCTCAACAATGGGGTAAACCTGATCATCATCGAGACGTTGGTTTCAAACAATTTTAGCTATCGGCTTGTCGTGTCAAGTGCCACCCAGAGTTCCCCCAAACACTTCAGTAGGATGCTGATCGAGCCACCGCAATGAAGTGCTCAGGAGAACTCAAGGGGACAGCTGACAGAAGTGGTTAGCTAGCCAGCCTGCTTGCTTCAGTTCTTCCTATCTTCAAGTGCTGTGTTGTTGGTTAAACAAGCAAATGACTCTTGTCTTTATATACAGAAAACACCCCCTACTCACCATGTAGAGAAATGAGAATTGGCAGAGTATATATGTACGGAACCTGGTCACAATTAAGGCATATGGTGCCAACTGCCTTCCCTCCAAGGACCAATTTTTTAGCAGAGATTCTGAGAACATTGTGACAGCAATATTTACATCTTGTGGGCGGGGGTAAATTTGCAAAAGACTTACGCTTTATCTTCTCATACTCTTAGTGTTATTATTCTGGCATCACTTTAATTATGCTTCTTTCTTAACTTACCCATTCTTCATCTCTAGATGCAAGATGCCTCCATCACCAGGCATGCAAAAACATGAAAAAGGTAAAAGCAATCAACATAAGGGATACAGTTAGCAAAGTGCTCTGATGAGGAAAAGCATGATTATTAACTGATATTCAAGTTCTGATAGCTTGTGATTAAGTGGTTGTTGGGTGGAATATAAATAGAGAAATGCGTCCATATTGGATACTTTAGGACACAAATGACACATTGTTAATAGTTCGGATTTCTTAGTGGTATTTGCCCTAAATTTTACCTAAAATAATTATTGTGCTGTAGTAAAATAAATTAGTTTGCCTTCGAACTCTACATTCACAAATTTCTAATTTCTTACCATCATATTTGGTCGGCTATGAATATCTGAGCACTTCTACTATGCTATATAGCATTGGTGTTTTAATGTACAACTTAAAGTTGTACCATAACATTAAATGTATAAGTTAAGTTGTATCATAAAGTAATTTGTGCCATTATGTTATGGTACAACTTTACAACTTGAAGTTGTACCATCACATAAAGGTTTGTCAAGTTGTACCATAAAAGAATTTGTAGAAAAAGTATAGGTACAATCTGAAGTTGGACCATAATGTAAATATACAATTTTAAATTGTACCATAAAGACAAAAATCTATAACACCAATATAGTAAAATTTCTCATGAATATCTAGCTGCAACTAGAAAAGCTAAGCTGAAAATTGCTTTACGTGGACAACAAAAGGAACTCGAATCTATATAAAGTGAAATATTACATTAAAGTTTTTGTTTTTACCCTTGAGATGATCCAAGCCACAACGGCGTCCAGTTTCAGATACCAACGTTGTCCCTCCAACTGTGACGTGGCTTCTTTCTTGACCTACCCATTCTTCATGTCCAGGTTCAATCAGCCCATGTAAAAAATGGCACTATCAACATGCATGCAAATGCAAATACATGAAATGGTCAAGATAAGGGATCATATAGCTACTAGCAAAGCGCTAAAAAGCTAAGCCCAAAATTGAGCTACGTGGACAACAAAGGAGCTTGAATATCTAAAGTTAAAATATTCCCTTGAAGTTTTTTTTTGCCTTGCCCTTGTGATGATCCAAGCCACAATGCAGTCCAGTTTCAGATACCAACGCTGTCCCGCCAACTATGAGATTGCAGTATAAATAGAGAAATAAAGCTGTGATTTGTACTAAAAATTGTGAGGACGAGGGAGAAGAAGGAAGAAAGGAGTGAATCCATCCAACCTAGGTGCCCCCTAGAGTTCCTTCGAATACTTCATTGATGGGAGCAAGAGGGTCTAGGATCTTTGTGATGAATAAGGTTTCCAGCAAATTAATTAAGCTCTTCCTGTTCACTGAAGTGTTTGGGGGAACTCCCGGTGTCGCTATGGTACGTACTTCTATATATTCCAGTGAATGAGATTATTATTCTATCCCTAGCTTGGGCTTCCCATGCATATTTCTGCAACTTTACATTATTAAAATGCAAGATATACAAGTAGCCGATCGATACTACGAATGGCTGGGAGATATGACCGATTCCCACGTAGCCAGAACAAACTTGGACTCATGGATGGATCCATCTCGGCACCCACCGATGACGGTGAAGATTACGATGTCTGGAAACAGTGTGATGCCACGGTTACCTGGTTACGAATGATGAGCAGCAACGTCACATGTCAAACAGCCGGCATTCGCGAGTTGAGGTTGTAGTTTTTCAAACTCAAGTCGAGAAGAAGCCGGACGTTGCAAATTAATGATGACGTAGCAAAACAATCAATCATTTGACTGTGCCACATAGATATATATATATGAGTCCTTCTAGTGTGCTCTATAGCACCCATGCTATAAAAAACAAAAAACAAAAGGTGACCTGTTGAGGAGGTAACACTACAGGAAATAGGTCTTTTACTCACGGGAAATCCAGTGTTTAAAAGCATAATTCCCGTGATTAATGAATTTAGTCACGGGAAATTTACCGTAATATAAACCTCTGTGTCTAATTGTATACCGTGACTAGTTATAGCTAGTCACGGTGTAGTTTCCCATGATTATTTGTACCTATTAATCACGGGGAAAACCGTGCATAATGTCAAATTTTATAGCACATATCCGAGAAAAAAAGCATTTAAAGACGGGATGTGTTTCTTTTAATACGGTAATAACCGTGAAAAAAATATTTACCGTGACTAGATGTCAATAACTTGTCACAGTATTATCTGGTTCTCCTATGATTAAATACTAACCACTAGTCACTATTTTTTCCTTAGCTAATTGTAAACTATAAATCACGTATCAAAGACATACTATTGAAAAGACAAACTCTTATGCAATTGGTTCACATACCATTTATTGATCATTGTATTGAATAACATACAGTTGAAAAACCAATCTGTGTAACATGAAACCCCAACCAAATGAAAACTATACAAATCAAATTGATATGAACAAACAATCTAAAAGCTATCAAAAGCTTCCATCTATGCTTCTACAAGATATTCCTAAGTAACTTAAGTATCAATCAAATCTTGAATCTTCAACTCTTCCTCATCCTGATTCCTGACAAAACATAGCAACAGGTAACCTTAAAATTAGTTCCAGTGAAGATTCTTAGAACTCTAGGGAGGATGTAAAATTACTGACTTAACAAGCACACGAATAGAATAAGAAACCATTACAATAGTGAAAATAATAGCTATTGGCAATATCATATCATATTTGCAAAGTTCTATGGGAACTTATACCCTCTCTAAGCTAAATGACCATTTAATCATTGATAAGCATTAAGAAGGTATATGCAGAAGGCAACAAAGCTGATTCTTTATAACCTAAAACAAGACCACATATATAGTTCATTACGGCACAAATTAAGATTGAGCGGATACATGTCATACTTTTGACCTTGTTGCCTTAACAACAATATTGATTAAGGCACAAAGATATCCATCTATATCTGCTAACTGTTATCATTACAAATAAATAAATAAATAACCGACCTCCAGTTAAACCATAATGACCTTGTTGTCATGGGGAAAAAAGCAACAACTAGTTGCACATAGGGCACTGCTGCTAGGCACTATGAAGAAGGTGTAAAATGAATACCTATGTAAACTGGAAGTAACATTTACATTGACAAATAAATCATCCATAACAAATTAAAGCTATAATCCACTAGGCAAGCTAGAGTGCACCTTTCCTAAATCATAACCTCAATTATGGTTGAGGTTACAGTAACAAATAAAGCACCTGAAGTAGTCCAGTACATGCAAATGACAACAGGTTCCTGACCATAATTACTAACACTAATTATTGGAATGTTTCATTCTTATGGATAAGATTTACTTTCTAACATTGAACTCAAAGTCAAGTTGTTTCCTTTACTGGATTAAGTTTTTGAAGACCTTCAGAAAACCATGATCCTAGTCCCTCAACCTAAAAAACCAAGATCCAGACTCCACCAATTCCAAAATCACACTGGCAACAGACCAGAGCCAGCTAGAAACAGAGAAAAGAAGAATGCAGCAGACCCCTGCTACAAAACCACTCACTCATAGTACAAATGCAAATAGAAACTCCATCAAACAATAAGAAAAAAACCTTGAAAGCACAATATAATTAAATAGATTTGTATTGCATAGACACCATAAAATCAAGAAAAAAATCAATTGAGGATACACCAACTACTCCATCTGCTACAAAATATCCAAAATAAATATCCTGCTATAAGTATTCCCCGACCAGTTCACCACCCTTCCAAACACACATCATTAGAACCGAGCTTTATACCTTTGACTCACATCAATAGGATTCCTACTTAAGCCAACAATGAACTTTGCTTTGAGAAGTTATTATGAGCAATTATAAGAATACTGATATTTCCAAACTAACTACCACTCCACAATTATAAAAGACCCAGCATTTCAAGTTCTTCAAAGTGCAACGAGAGTAGGTCCGATTTTCCAACCATCATTTACCACTTAGCTACTTCAGAAACCACAAAGAGGTCCCTTTGAATCCATGACAATTACACAGAGAGGCATAAACTGAACAACAGATCTTAGTAAGCATCACTTACTCCTTTGAGAGCTCCCAGTCATTCATAAAAATTCAGCCAACACTTCATGTTAAAATGAACTAACTAACACAAGCCAAGTTACACGAGAGTAGGTCGGGTTTTGTAAGCATAATTTACCCCATAGCTGCTTCAGAAACCAAAGAGAGAATCCCTTTGAATCCATGACAATTACACACACATGCATTAACTGAAGAGCAGATCTAAGCTATTTACCCCTTTGAGAGCTTCCAGTCATTCATGAAAATCCTGCCAACACTTCCTGTTAAAATGAACTAATTAATCGCACAAGCACAGTTCATACAAACCAAACACAGATCCATAAACTCAAAATCACAAACATCTTAAACCACGTAAATTAAGTAGGTCAGTAACCTAAATCTCTAATTTAACAAGCTTAGTTGATCAGTGTAGGATAACAAGAGAACTGAGAGATTATCACCTAGATTCCTTGTATCAAACCATCTGAAAAGTTCTGCATCTCCTCGACTCCACCAATTTTCATGGAAAGTTTCTCCTCGAGATTGAGAGTCAAAACCATCTCGACGATAGAGTGGCCTCTCTGCCGCAGGTGAGGTCCAAATTCTGCTACCTTCCCACAGTTGAAACCCCATAGGCACATCCAGAAAGGTAGAAAAAGTGCATTAGATCCTAACGCAGCCAAAAAGGAATAAAAATCAAACATGCATTAAGTTTTCTTTAGGTCGTCTATAGTCCAGAGCAAGGATATTGTGCTAATTATAATATCCTCAAATCGAATACAAAATGACACTATTAAATAAGAACCCTAGCGTGCAATTTGGAAATGACACTGTCAATTACAATCGATTCCAAACAAAACCCTGGTGTCAAAGAAATTTAATCCCTCTCCAAATCTCACTTCCTTCATTTCGGTTATGATAAATTACTTTGCAGCTCTAGCTGCATGCGATTCTAATAGATATAGAAAGGATTGTTGTTGGGTTTAAATAAAGAGATAAAAGGAGGAGTTTAAAGGGAGACAGAGACAAGATTCGAGTACATACATACCTCAACTGCAGGCCTGAGTACTCTTCGAGGAAGAAGGAACTCGATAAAGAAGTAAGAAGGGAACGATTGGAACGAAGGATTGGCTGGGGAAGAAAGAAGAGATCCTGACTAAGAACTACGAAGAGGAGAGATGGGAGTGGAAAGAGACTAAATTTTAGGATTTGCTGGAGCCAAAATTTTCAATTTGGAGCCAAAATTTTCGGTGAGGAAATTTTAGAAATAATGGAGGCGGGAAGAAAATGCGCGAGGCGTTTAACTGTTGGGTAAACCAATTTACTTTTTATGAATTGAAACCAATTTTCATGGACTTCCAATTCGGTTATTTGTTAGGAATAACATTTGTTTAGTTCATTTTATATTTCTTTCATCCACCGAATAAAAATAAAATTCCTTCCAATCATAATTTTTTAATTCACCTTAATTGTTAGTGATATTGACCAGGATAAAATTTTCAAACAAAATATTCATTTTTTATTCATTCATATTATTTCATTTTTTTCATTCATCTTTAGTTTAATTTATAACTCGGAAAGGTAAATCGTCACATTGTTCACGGTAATTAACTGTGAGTAATTATTGGTCACATTATTCACGGTAATTAACCGTGACTAACAATTAATCACGGGAATCACATACTAAAAAATAGGTAAATTATTTCCCGTGATTAGAGCTATATAATCAAATACGGGAATTTTTACCGTGACCATTAGCATACTTCTTAGTACGGGAAAAATTCCCGTGAATAAGATCCCCGTGATTAGAAACTTGTTTTCCTGTAGTGTAAACCCACTAAATGACTGGTCCCACATCATTAATGGCAATCTTGTAAATAATGAATCAATGTATACAAGTGTAGGTACAACTTAAAGTTGTACCATTAGTATAGGTACAAGTTTCAGCTGTACCATTGAAGAATTTGTTTCACAAAGTGTAGGTACAACTTAAAATTGTACCATTAGTATAGGTACAATTTTGAGTTGTACCATGAAGGGATTTATTAGAAAGTGTAGCTACAACTCAAAATTGTACCATATTATAGGTACAAGTTTGGGTTGTACCATTAAAGAATTTTGAGAAAGTGTAGGTACAACTTAAGGTTGTACCATTAGTATAGGTACAATTTTTAGTTGTACCATAAGGGATTTGTTAGAAAGTGTAGGTACAACTTAAATTTGTACCATGGTATAGGTACAATTTTGGGTTGTACCATAGAAGGATTTTTAGAAAGTGTAGGTACAACTTAAAGTTGTACCATTAGTATAGGTACAATTTTGAGTTGTACCATAAAGAGATTTATTAGAAAGTGTAGGTACAACTTAAAGTTGTACCATTAGTATAGGTACAATTTTGAGTTGTACCATAAAGAGATTTATTAGAAAGTGTAGGTACAACTTAAAGTTGTACCATTAGTATAGGTACAATTTTGAGTTGTACCATAAAGGGATTTATTAGAATGTGTAGGTACAACTTAAAATTGTACCATATTATAGGTACAAGTTTGGGTTGTACCATAGAAGGATTTTGAAAAAGTGTAGGTACAACTTAAGGTTGTACCATTAGTATAGGTACAATTTTTGGTTGTACCATAAAGGGATTTGTTAGAAAGTGTAGGTACAACTTAAGGTTGTACCATTCGTATAGGTACAATTTTTAGTTGTACCTTAAAGGGATTTGTTAGAAAGTGTAGGTACAACATAAAGTTGTACCATAGTATAGGTACAAGTTTGGGTTGTACCATAGAAGGATTTTGAAAAAGTGTAGGTACAACTTAAGGTTGTACCATTTGTATAGGTACAATTTTGAGTTGTACCATAAAGGGATTTATTAGAAAGTGTAGGTACAACTTAAAGTTGTACCATTAGTATAGGTACAATTTTGAGTTGTACCATAAAGGGATTTATTAGAAAGTGTAGGTACAACTAAAAGTTGTACCATTAGTATAGGTACAATTTTGAGTTGTACCATAAAAGAATTTTGAGAAAGTGTAGGTACAACTTAAGGTTGTACCATTAGTATAGGTACAAGTTTGGGTTGTACCATAGAAGGATTTTGAAAAAGTGTAGGTACAACTTAAAGTTGTACCAAGGTATAGGTACAAGTTTGGGTTGTACCATAGACCGATTTTTAGAAAGTGTAGGTACAACTTAAAGTTGTACCATGGTATAGGTACAAGTTTGGGTTGTACCATAGAAGGATTTTGAGAAAGTGTAGGTACAACTAAAAGTTGTACCATTAGTATAGGTACAATTTTGAGTTGTACCATAGAGGGATTTGTTAGAAAGTGTAGGTACAACATTAAGTTGTACTATAGTGTATAGGTACAATTTTTAATTGTACCATAGAAGATTTTTAGGAAAGTGTAGGTACAACTTTAAATTTAGTGTAAAGGTACAACTCTAGAAAGTGTAGGTACAATTTTGAGGAAACACGGCTCATCTCACGGCCGTGACATGACCCGTGACAAGCAAAGAGTAGTTTTCCTATCTCCAGACAATCACACGGCTTATTCTCTCGCCCGTGAGAATTAACAGATGAGCCGTGAGAGGTACAGCATTCAAATCCAAAACACGGCTCATCTCACGGCCGTGATAATGTCGAAGGCAACCCGTGAAACCCTCTGGGAAACTGAGAAGTGCGTTTTTACATCCACGGCCTATCTCACGTCCTATCTCACGGCCGTGATATTTCCAGAATTACATATCCAAAACCACGTCTTCTTTCACGGCCGTGGGATTTCCAGAATTGGCCGTGAGATTTCCAGAAATAGTCTGCACAGACATGCACCTGTACAACTAACCCTTGTACTTATTATAATGGTGTAAGTAACATAATATACTGTTTGTGAAAACTACAAGCTTATGAAAAGATGAGTCATAATGTTCTTTGAAGCTTGACACGAGCATTACATAGATCCTTCTCTAGTAACTGTACATCATATCAGATGAGATACCCTGTTAACAAAAAGTAAAAAGCAGTCAAAGCTTTACATTTGTCTTATAAAACAAACATCCATAACACGATTAAATTTGTCTAATTAATGCTTAAGTTTAGATGCATGTAGCCCACACTGGTGCATCATAATATTCTAATTGGAAAACATACAAGCACAAAAGCAAACACACATAGCTAAGTACTAAGGACTTTGGTTGGCTCATCTTCACTGCCCATCTTTCTCGTTAGTGTTCTCGTCCTCGTCTTTGTTTTCCTGGATTTGCTCATCTTCATTGTCCTCGCTAGAGTCAGTGCTGTCTTCCTCATTGGTCCCTTTGACCTCTTGATTTTTTTCCTTGTTTTGGTCATCGCCATTGCCCTCGTCGTCCTCTTCACTGATGTCTTCCTCATCGGTCCCTTTGTCCTCTTCACTGCTTTCCTTGTTTTGTTCCTCTCCTTTCTCCTCTTGATTTTTTCCCTTGTTTTGGTCATCGCCATTGCCCTCGTCGTCCTCTTCACTGCTGTCTTCCTCATCGGTCCCTTTGTCCTCTTGATTTTTTTCCTTGTTTTGTTCCTCTCCTTTTTCCTCTTGATTTTTTTCCTTGTTTTGGTCATCGCCATTGCCCTCGTCGTCGTCCTCTTCACTGCTGTCTTCCTCATCGGTCCCTTTGTCCTCTTCAATGCTTTCCTTGTTTTGTTCCTCTCCTTTCTCCTCTTGATTTTTTTCCTTGTTTTGGTCATCGCCATTGCCCTCATCGTCCTCTTCACTGCTGTCTTCCTCATCGGTCCCTTTGTCCTCTTCAATGCTTTCCTTGTTTTGTTCCTCTCCTTTCTCCTCTTGATTTTTTTCCTTGTTTTGGTCATCGCCATTGCCCCCGTCGTCCTCTTCACTGCTGTCTTCCTCATCGGTCCCTTTGTCCTCTTCACTGCTTTCCTTGTTTTGTTCCTCTCCTTTCTCCTCTTGATTTTTTCCCTTGTTTTGGTCATCGCCATTGCCCTCGTCGTCCTCTTCACTGCTGTCTTCCTCATCGGTCCCTTTGTCCTCTTGATTTTTTTCCTTGTTTTGTTCCTCTCCTTTTTCCTCTTGATTTTTTTCCTTGTTTTGGTCATCGCCATTGCCCTCGTCGTCGTCCTCTTCACTGCTGTCTTCCTCATTGGTGTCATTGTCCTCTTCACTGCTTTCCTTGTTTTGTTCCTCTCCTTTGTCCTCTTGATTTTTTTCCTTGTTTTGGTCATCACCATTGCCCTCATCGTCCTCTTCACTGCTGTCTTCCTCATCGGTCCCTTTGTCCTCTTCAATGCTTTCCTTGTTTTGTTCCTCTCCTTTCTCCTCTTGATTTTTTTCCTTGTTTTGGTCATCGCCATTGCCCTCGTCGTCCTCTTCACTGCTGTCTTCCTCATCGGTCCCTTTGTCCTCTTCACTGCTTTCCTTGTTTTGTTCCTCTCCTTTCTCCTCTTGATTTTTTCCCTTGTTTTGGTCATCGCCATTGCCCTCGTCGTCCTCTTCACTGCTGTCTTCCTCATCGGTCCCTTTGTCCTCTTGATTTTTTTCCTTGTTTTGTTCCTCTCCTTTTTCCTCTTGATTTTTTTCCTTGTTTTGGTCATCGCCATTGCCCTCGTCGTCGTCCTCTTCACTGCTGTCTTCCTCATTGGTGTCATTGTCCTCTTCACTGCTTTCCTTGTTTTGTTCCTCTCCTTTGTCCTCTTGATTTTTTTCCTTGTTTTGCTCATCGTCATTACCCTCGTCATCCTCTTCACTTCCCTCTTCATTGCTTTCCTCGGTTGGCCTAGGAGATAGTTCCCAAGGTGTTGAGAATTGTTTGTAGTCAATCCTCAAGGACCTCATGATCTGATGGTTGCATTCGATGATGTAGCGTCGAGCTTCCTTCTCTCGATCGAGGCGGGTGAGAATGAGTGCATTTTGCTCCAGAATTTGGGCATTCTGCCGACCCAATGCCTCAAAATGGGATATGTTGCTGTCGGTGGATGGTCCGGCTTGAGTCGTAGTTTGGTGATGTTGTGCAGGTTGTTCCGGAGTCTCCTCGACCATTTGCTGAACAACATGCTCCGATGTGTTTGCCTCATCTGTTGCAAGAGGTCGAGCAGGATGAGGGAGGCCAACAATGCCTACCACACCATTCTCCTTAACCACCAAACACAGACATGATCAATATCAGAAGCATTAGTTACATTTGCTCAATGTTCAAAAGGAACTAGATT